GTGTGGTGTGGGCATACCACACTGTTTAACTGAAGGGCATCTGGGTAGATTCTAGTTTTTGACTGAGGAATAAAGGTGCGTGGATATCCAAGTACTGGTTTTCATATGAACCTAAGTTTTCATTTCTCTGGGATAAATGTCCTTGGCTACAATTTCTGGATAGCATCGTAGTTACATATTTGGTTTTAAAAGAAATTGCTGTTTTTAGAGTGGCTACACCATTTTACATCCTTACCAGCAATGGTATGAGTAGTCCATTTCTCTGCATCCTTGCCAGCATTTGCTTGTTGATATTTTATATTTTGGCCACCCTGATAGGCATGTAGTGAATGTCACTGTAGTTTTAGGTTGCTTTTCCCTAATTGCTATTGAACATCTTTTCACATGTTATTTTGCTATCTGTGTATCCTCTTTGGTGCAATGTCACTACAAGTCTTTCTCCCATTTTCTAATTCAATTGTTTTTGTACTATTGAGTTTTGAGAATTCTTTATATATTCTTGATATTAGTCCTTTATCAAATTTTTTTCTCCTAGTCTTTGGCTTATTTTTTCATCCTCTTACCAGGGTCTTCTTCAAAACAAAAGATTTTAATTTTTCCTGCTGTTGTTATTTAGTCGCTAAGTTGTGTCCAACTCTTTGGGACCCCATGTACTGTAGCCCACCAGGCTCCTCTGTCCGTGGGATTTCCCAGACATGGATACTGAAGTGAGTTGCCATTTCCTTCTCCAGGGGAGCGTCCCAACCCAGGGATTATACTGGAGTCTTTTGTGTTGGCAGGCACTTTCTTTACTACTGAGCCTTCAGGGAAGCCCTTTTAATTTTTATGAAGTCTAATTTATCAATTCATCCTTTTATAGACTGTACGTTTGATGAGTCCTAGATTCTCTCTAGATTTTGTCCCATGTTTTTCCCCAAAAGTAATAGTTTGGTGTTTTCCATCTGAGTCTCTGATGTATTTTGAGTCATTTTTATGTAAGATATGAGACAGATTAAAATTCTTTTTCTTTCTGTTTTCCAGTTGCTTTTTTTTCTTTTTCGTCTATGGGAGTCCATTGGATCCCACAGCATTTTTGAAAATTGTTCTTTCTCCACTGAATTATTTTTGTGCCTTTGTCAAAGATCTACTGTACATATTTATGTGGGTCTACACCTGAGTTGTGTTCCACTGATCTATGTGTTTATCCCTCTGTCAGTACCATGCAGCCTTGAATACTATAGCTCTGTAATACCTCTCAAAATTAGATAGATTGATCCCTCCCGCTTTATTCCTTTTTTAAGAACTGTTTTAGCTAGCCTAGTTTCTTTGCCTTTACATAAACATTTTAAAATACTCTCGTCTGTATCTACAAAAAAAAAATCTTGCTGGGATTTTGATAAGAATTATAGCAAACCCATATATTGATATAGAAAACTGATTTATATTATGTCTTCCTAAACATACAGCATGTCTCTTCATTTATTTAGATCTTTGGTTTCTTTCATCAGCATTTTCTAATTTTCAGTATACAAGTCCTATCATGTTTTGTTTGATTAACATTTATGTATTTCATTTTTTTTTGTAATTGTAAATGATTTCTAATAAATAAATTTGTGTCCACATGTTCAGCATTAGTATATAGAATTACCATTTACTTATATGTTTATCTTGTATTCTGTGGCATGACCAAAGTCATTTAATAATTCCAGGAGGTTTGGTAGATACTTTGGGATTTTCTATGTAAAAGTCATGTCATCTGCAAATAGGGACAATTTTATTTCTTCCTTTCCTGTCTGTAAGCCTTTTATTTCCTTGCTTGCTTTATTGCGCTGGCTGAAACAATTACATTGAATAGTATACTATATTGGATAGTGGGAACAGACATCCTTGCCTTGTCCTCAACTGTAAGGAGAAAGCGTTTGCTCTTTATCACCATTAACTATGTTATTAAGTATAATGTTGATGTACGTGTGCTGAGTTTTTATGAATGCTATTTGCCCATGGGAAGGAGCAGTTTCCTGATGTGATGCACTCGCTCCCCCAGAAGCAGTTCCCTTGATACAGTTAGATTGAGGATACATGGTTTGCTAGAGTGAAGGAGGAATAATGAGCTTAGAATTTTGAAGATTCAGATTTAAATTTTGACTCCCCCCCCCCCTGCCCCCCACCATCTGACCAGATGGCCCTGGTTAACATGACTACATACCCCTCTCGAAGCCCATTTCCTCCTCCACCAAAGAGGGAGAAGAGCACTTGTCCTGTGTCCTCACCCTTGAGGAATAAGGGATGTGGGGTTATTATAGCCCTGCCAAGGCTTCCCTGTCTACACAGCAGGAGCTGGAGTATTGCCCAGACTTACTGAGATCTTTCTGTCTTACTCTGCTGTGCCCCAACCAGCACCTTAATTTACTCATCTCTCTGGAAGGTTTAACAACTTTTTTTTTTTTTTTCATGGATACTGAAGTGAGTTGCCATTTCCTTCTCCAGGGGAGCGTCCCAACCCAGGGATTATACTGGAGTCTTTTGTGTTGGCAGGCACTTTCTTTACTACCGAGCCTTCAGGGAAGCCCTTTTAATTTTTATGAAGTCTAATTTATCAATTCATCCTTTTATAGACTGTACGTTTGATGAATCCTAGATTCTCTCTAGATTTTGTCCCATGTTTTTCCCCAAAAGTAATAGTTTCGTGTTTTCCATCTGAGTCTCTGATGTATTTTGAGTCATTTTTATGTAAGATATGAGACAGATTAAAATTCTTTTTCTTTCTGTTTTCCAGTTGCTTTTTTTTCTTTTTCGTCTATGGGAGTCCATTGGATCCCACAGCATTTTTGAAAATTGTTCTTTCTCCACTGAATTATTTTTGTGCCTTTGTCAAAGATCTACTGTACATATTTATGTGGGTCTACACCTGAGTTGTGTTCCACTGATCTATGTGTTTATCCCTCTGTCAGTACCATGCAGCCTTGAATACTATAGCTCTGTAATACCTCTCAAAATTAGATAGATTGATCCCTCCCGCTTTATTCCTTTCTTAAGAACTGTTTTAGCTAGCCTAGTTTCTTTGCCTTTACATAAACATTTTAAAATACTCTCGTCTGTATCTACAAAAAAAAAATCTTGCTGGGATTTTGATAAGAATTATAGCAAACCCATATATTGATATAGAAAACTGATTTATATTATGTCTTCCTAAACATACAGCATGTCTCTTCATTTATTTAGATCTTTGGTTTCTTTCATCAGCATTTTCTAATTTTCAGTATACAAGTCCTATCATGTTTTGTTTGATTAACATTTATGTATTTCATTTTTTTTTGTAATTGTAAATGATTTCTAATAAATAAATTTGTGTCCACATGTTCAGCATTAGTATATAGAATTACCATTTACTTATATGTTTATCTTGTATTCTGTGGCATGACCAAAGTCATTTAATAATTCCAGGAGGTTTGGTAGATACTTTGGGATTTTCTATGTAAAAGTCATGTCATCTGCAAATAGGGACAATTTTATTTCTTCCTTTCCTGTCTGTAAGCCTTTTATTTCCTTGCTTGCTTTATTGCGCTGGCTGAAACAATTACATTGAATAGTATACTATATTGGATAGTGGGAACAGACATCCTTGCCTTGTCCTCAACTGTAAGGAGAAAGCGTTTGCTCTTTATCACCATTAACTATGTTATTAAGTATAATGTTGATGTACGTGTGCTGAGTTTTTATGAATGCTATTTGCCCATGGGAAGGAGCAGTTTCCTGATGTGATGCACTCGCTCCCCCAGAAGCAGTTCCCTTGATACAGTTAGATTGAGGATACATGGTTTGCTAGAGTGAAGGAGGAATAATGAGCTTAGAATTTTGAAGATTCAGATTTAAATTTTGACTCCCCCCCCCCCTGCCCCCCACCATCTGACCAGATGGCCCTGGTTAACATGACTACATACCCCTCTCGAAGCCCATTTCCTCCTCCACCAAAGAGGGAGAAGAGCACTTGTCCTGTGTCCTCACCCTTGAGGAATAAGGGATGTGGGGTTATTATAGCCCTGCCAAGGCTTCCCTGTCTACACAGCAGGAGCTGGAGTATTGCCCAGACTTACTGAGATCTTTCTGTCTTACTCTGCTGTGCCCCAACCAGCACCTTAATTTACTCATCTCTCTGGAAGGTTTAACAACTTTTTTTTTTTTTTGGTTTGACAACTTCCAATGGATCATTAGGATTTGCATTTGAAATCTTAAACTCAAAGACCAAAGACCCAGAAATGTTTGCTGTCTGGCAGGCTGACTGCTCAAGTCTGGTTCCTGGTTCCCACACTTAAACCATGTGTATAAACTCAGGCAAAGCATGCAGTCCCCGAATTCCCCATCAGTTTCATCATCTGTAAGATGGGAGAAATGATGGAACTAATTGCCAGGGCTGTTGTGAAGACTGAATTTATATCACATTTCTAGCAGTGCCTGACCTATTAGCCGTGATCATTACTGTTGGTGACTATAAGGACACATACTGATTTGTGAACCACCTTTCTTAAAAAAAAAAATTGTTTGCCTTGCAGATTTTTTAAAAAATGGATTTGGCCAACCATGGACTTATTCTCCTGCAACAGTTAAACGCTCAGCGAGAGTTTGGTTTCCTGTGTGACTGCACGGTTGCCATCGGCGATGTGTACTTCAAGGCACACAAATCAGTTCTTGCTTCATTCTCCAATTACTTTAAGATGTTGTTTGTCCATCAGACCAGGTAACTAACGTGGTTGATAATAATCTAATGACTGTAGCCTCTGACCTTCCATGGCCCTCTTTCCCACTGAACCTGCTCTTTGCCCTCATCAGGACCATGGTTCTCATGACCTCTCCCTAGGCTCCCAGTCCCTGGTGACCTCACCTGCCCCAGGGAGCCCCTCCACCTCCAGACGGCCGTGCCCAGTCCAGATCAGCAGCCTGGGGCCCACCAGGAAGGCAGCTTTCTCCTCCAGCCCTGCCCCGAGTGTCCCCTTCCCCCTCCCCCCAACTGGACTTTGAGTATTTATCCTTAGTCTCCTAATGAGAAGCTTGGCAGCATGAATTCCCACCGTGTCCTTCTTTTCTCCCCTAAAATGACTCAGTCTCCTTATTTTTTTTCTTCCCATCTGTTCTGTCTTGAAGAAAAGAGCCCCTGGTTTCTAAGGAAGACGATCCTCCTGCTGCCCTCACGTTCCCAGGTTCGCCATAGTTTCCATTCTGCATTTTTCATTTTTACCTGGTACCCTCCCCGGCATCCCCGAGCCTGAAGGCTCAGCACTTCTGTGACCCTGCTGTCCACCGGCTGGTGCTGCTTCTCCTTGCTGCACTGTGGCAGTTCCTCAAAGGGTGATCTCTGGCTTCACCTCTCCCCTCTTCATCCCCCACTCTGTCTCCGCGGGGACTGCGGTTTCCACCGCATCACCCCAGACCTCACTTCTCCCAAGGTCACCCCTTCATCAGACCCCCGCTGTCCTCGCAGTCGCTGTTGCCCGTGTCCTCTGAAGCACTTGCGCCCGTTTCCTTCCTTCTTCAGGGTTGTCGTCTGCATTTTGATGACTCTGAATCCCCCTTGTTTTTCTGCCTTCTCCACAGGCGCCTCCTGCAGTTTTGGTGAGTTGGGTCTCCTCGCTGCTTTCTCTCTGCCTCTCCTGATGGGCCCTCCTCTTTGCCTGGACCTTGCCTCTGCTGGAAACCAGTTCACAGCCCTGGCCTTGCTCTTTTTCTGTCTCCAGAACTGTTATTTCCCAAGGCCCCAGGCTAGCTGCTGGACATCTAGAATTTAATATCCTCTTTTATCTCATTTTGCATGTCTGCAGCTGAATTAAGTCTGCCCAGAAGTGCCTCTGGCTTCCCTATTTTATTTTTTCATCTTCAAGTAACCCATACTTAAAATCTCTCTAAAACTGTCCCCAAATCATGTTTTCTTCACAATTACCTTTCACATTAGTTCTTTCCTTCCCTTCTCACTTCCATTTCCTAATCATTTTCCATATTACTATCAGATTAATATTCCTAAGCACTGCTTTGATTGGCATGTGCCTTTGTTCCAAAACCTATCAGATTGTGTTATTCTTTTGATTGGAAACCTAGAGGACACTCATCACACATCAAAGTAGCACACAGATTCTTCTTTCTGTCCTTCAAGGCCCAGCAGGCATGGAGCCTGACCTCCTTCCAGCCAGTTTCTGAAGGCACCCCCTCAGGACACTCCATCCCCCACTGGAACCACACTTTGTTGGCCTTGCGCCCACTCCCTGAGCCATAGTCCATAGGTCATCTCCCTGACCCCCCCACACCCCGCCCAACAATCAAGTGAGCTGAAATGCTCCAAGCAGTCTTTTCCTCTCTTACATCTCAGAGCGCTTTATTCGTGCCATTTTGTAAGAGCAATATATTTTCCCTTTGTTGTTATTTGTGTACTTACCTCCCTTCCTCTTTCGTAAGATGCTGGAGGGCAGACATTCTACAAATGTTTTGAAAGTCACAGCCTATAGTTCACGGATTTGTGTATAATAGCCACTTGATAGACGCTTAGAGGAGCAGAATGGGTGGTTAATAGGATTGATGGCAGATGGAAGTTGCTTTATCTTTCGACACTAAGGATGCCCCCTGATCCTTTATTGCTAATGGATACTGGAAGTCTCAACACAATGAATTAAACTGTCTTGCCAAGGGGCTGGTTTTCATTTTGAGGAATAAAAGAATACATTGTAATGATTTTTAAATAGATGCAGGAAACTGACTGTAAGTGTAGTTATTCAGTCACTAAGTCCTGTTTGACTCTCTGTGACCCCAAGGGAGTGTAAAGTGTAGAGCAGTGGGCAAATACCCTTCTCACAAAGGAGTGTGATATCAGTGCAGAGAGGAGCCCCAAGTTTAAGCAACAGCGTGTTATTGCCCGGGAGCCGGCATGTGCTGTTTGGGAAAGGAGAATGCTTAGGCAAAGACCAGAGCCCTGCTTTTAACTGCTGACTACTGTAGAGATGCAGAAGCTGAAGCTCCAATACTTTGGCCACCTGATGCAAAAAACCGACTCATTGGAAAAGACTTCAAAGATTGAAGGCAGGAGGAAAAGATGGTGACAGAGAATGAGGTGGTTAGATAGCATTACTGACCCAATGGACATGAATTTGAGCAAACTCCTAAAGATAGTGGAAGACAGGGGGGCCTGGGGTGCTGCAGTCCATGGGGTCACAAAAAGTCGGATGTGACTTAGCAACTGAACAACAACAGCAACTGTAGAGATAGATCAAGAATAATTTTTCACACTGAGAGAGTGTTTTATGTCTGTAGTTACCACTAGATGTCTCTTGTCTTATGGATGCTTGCTAAGTATAACTTCTGATAGCGTCTCACATGAAACATTAATTTTAAATCCTTATTTTCAAAGTTTTTTAAGCCCATCTTTTACTTAAAGGGTCTAGTGAAGGAAAGATTGAAAATGTAAATGACTGTGGAAGTTTTTAGGAAGGGCTTGTAGCTTGTTCGAAAATGCATTTTTCCTCCATAAAAGTGTTATGTCCAACATACATCTGCAAACCAAACCACTTACGTGTAAGTATATTGTAGACAGCTGTTTCCTTCCCAAAAGCCTGGGAAATGACCGGAGTGGCCTAGAGCGAGCTGAGCAATTGACAGGAGGCCTGGCTGCCTGGCAAGGATAGTCATGGAGGACACTGATGGCTGGAATGTGACATAAGGAGCTTTTTAAAATAACTTTTTAAGTGTCTTGAGTGTGTCTATGTACTTCTGCTTTAAGGAAAAAAAGAAAAAAAAAGATGAACAAATCAAGATAAATTGGTGTCTGAAAACCTCTCTGGGCCCTGGGCGCTGACCGCAAACCCCAAGGCCCCACTGCTTTCTGCCTGGGTCTCCTCACCTGTCCCCTGGGCCCCAGAGTTTTTCTCTCTGTAAGCCTTGCTGAAGTGTGGTCAGGGCCTTCCCAGCCCCATCCCTTCTTTGCCCTCAGAAATTGCACTAAGTTCGGTAAAATTTGAGAAGCTTACTATCCAGTCACCTCCATTTGCAGTCAGGAGAGGACAGCTCAACTTACACAATAGCCAATAAGGGTGCTAAAATTTACAAGAGTCTTTCTGGAAAGGGACCCCGCTAGGGATTTACCTTCATGGAGGCTGAAAACTCGAGCCAGGCTTAGGATTTCCGCCCTTCCCTTTTCTCTGCCGCGGAGGCAGGGGGACTCACCATCCTTCCTCCTGATTGAAGGAACATTCCATCCCCAAAGATGGCAACATTCCCCAGTGTCTAGGCAGTAGAGAATTCTGACCCGGGAGGCACGGGTTCAAGCCGGGGACAGGAAGATCCCCTGGAGAAGGGAATGGCAACCCACTCCAGTATTCTTGCCTGGAGAATCCCACGGACAGAGGATCCCAGCGGGCTGCAGTCCATGGGGTCGCAAAGAGTTGGACACGACTGAGCAACTGAACGCACAAGTCCCCACAGAACAAAAGGCGCCCTGTAAGCTCCTGGGGGTGATTTGCATCTTTCAAGGCCTGTGGTTTCCCATTCTCTAGCCTCTGCCTGGCCCTGGAAAGATTCCCCACTAGTTCAGTCTTCAATCCGGAGTTGACTGTTTACATTATGAAAGTTTTCTTCACCACACCAAATCCCTGAAGGTTTATCTTGAATATTGAATTTCCCTAGAGCATCTCAGTATGTTCGAGTATACACAGAATATTGTTGGCACTTACCTTGTGCTTAAAGGGAAGGACCACCTGCATTGGCATTCCTATTTAAAGGAATATAAATAATTGAAAGGACTATAAAAAAAGCCTCCAAATAAAGACATGAGTGATCTGTGTGTCTTTTAAAAACAGTCCCATAAATTCTTTCCCTTTCTGCTGTCAAAGGGGTGCTAGTTTTTATGCTTGATCTTTGCTTATAAAGACTATATTCTATAAAACCTTCCATACTTTATAGTCATATTTTATAGTCAAGACATTTTACACATGATTATTTGTATGCAGGCATCTTGAAATTTACACACGTTGATGGCAATACAGTAATTATTCAAGTATATCTTATCACAGCTTTAAAAGCCATTTAATAGTCACTTGCCTCCCCCTTTTTTTAACAGACGAAAATACTAAATTTAGAAGAGCAGATTATGCTGTTACTATTTTAGCATATTGGGAAATACTTAAGATAAATAGTTAAAGGGCCCAAAAAGAGTCATAGTAGTAATAAGTGGTATAATGAAAAATGATTATGAATTCTAAAAGCATTCAAGGCAAATGTCTTTGAGGTTGAAAAATGCATTGTCAGTAGAATATATTCACTCAGTAGGTGACAGCACATATACCTCATGTAGATCTTTATCTCATCGATTTATGGTGATGTGTTAGGTTTCCTTTCTTTACTGATGATTTAGGGAGGGTTCTCGGGAGCTTTTTGTTATTACTGCTTGAATCTACACTCTGTTTCTAGGATGATGCAAACACTGAAGTCTGCAAGTTAGGCCATCAATTTTGCCACAGCTCCTTTTGGTACCTCATATAAGCCACTGAACCTTGGGGAATCTCGGTTTCCATATCAATCATCATTCCAGATCTGCCTCTTCTACACAGGATTGTTTTAATGGTCCAAAGACTCTTGGTGTCTTGGCTTAGAAGTTAGACTCAAATTTAAGTCCCACCACTTACTAATACTGATACTCAGTAAGGTATAAATCCCTTTGAGCCTCAACTCCTTATCTGTAAAGTGTGAATTGTTGTTGTTGAGTCACTCAGTCGTGTCCGACTCTTTGAGACCCCGTGGACTGTAGCCTCCCAGGCCCCTCTGTCCGTGCGATTTCCCAGGCAGGAACACTGGAGTGGGCTGCCGTTTCCTACTCCAGGGGCTCTTCCTCGCCCAGGGAGTGAAGCCAAGTCTCCTGCATTGGTAGGCGGATTCTTTACCACCGTGCCACTTGGGAAGCCCCAAAACGTGAATTAATGGCAATGCAATGAGAAAATGCCTGTAAATCCCAGCTGCAATTCCAATGATGAGGATGATTATATTTGATAAACAACTGAGTCATCCCAGAGCTGCTTTTCATGCGATCCAGTGATACTGGGATGATGATCAGACTCCATTGGAGCTGGAGTGTGGCTTGCCTTCCTGGTTCTTCCCAGGTCTGCTGCACTCTGCCCTTCGTGCTGGAGAGAGCAGAGGGGTTCAGAGCAGGGACAGGAGGTGGTTTTTCTTACTTCTGTGGTCTTGCTCTTAGGCACCAGTCTAACTCCCCTATGTTATGTTGTGACTCCTATCTTAAAAGATCTGCTGAGTTCCAGATGGCATTGAATCAATATAAAGTCCTAGACGTTTAGCTGAAAGATATGCATGTCAGGGATTCTTAAGCATTTACTGGGTCATGGGCCACTCAGCAATGGATCCTCTCCATAAAGCACAAAGTTGTTTATAAATGATATAATTTTGCATAGGTTGCTAGGAGAAAGACTACTTCAAGAGTCTATGTGTTAAGTTACCATATTTCTTTAACATGAATTACCCTTTCTCAGTCCTTTAAAATAATCTTTATCGTATTCCTGTCTGTTCTATTAAGAAGCCTATTAAGGTTTAGAGTTAAATTGCATAGGTTCCTGTTGGAATACTTTCTTGAGTGTTCCAGTTCATGAAACTCACACTAAGATATGGGAGATGGGTCTTGTTTCATTTGCCTCCGTAAGAGCCCTCCGGGTTTTTCCCTCGGGTTTTATGGAATCACTTGAGTCACGGACCGACATCCAATGACAGACTTTTCTCTCGTCTCTTTCAGCGAATGTGTCCGCTTGAAACCCACCGACATCCAGCCGGACATCTTCAGCTATCTCCTGCATCTCATGTACACAGGGAAGATGGCGCCGCAGCTGATCGACCCGGTGCGGCTGGAGCAGGGCATCAAGTTCCTGCACGCTTACCCGCTGATCCAGGAGGCCAGCCTGGCCAGCCAAGGAGCNGCATCTCATGTACACAGGGAAGATGGCACCGCAGCTGATCGACCCGGTGCGGCTGGAGCAGGGCATCAAGTTCCTGCACGCTTACCCGCTGATCCAGGAGGCCAGCCTGGCCAGCCAAGGAGCCTTTTCTCATCCCGACCAAGTTTTCCCGCTGGCGTCGTCCTTGTATGGCATTCAGATCGCAGACCACCAGCTGAGACAAGCCACCAAGATGGCCTCGGCGCCTGAGAAACTTGGTCGAGAGCCGCGGCCGCAGGCGACGCGGATGAGCCAGGAGCAGGGGCCCGAGGCCCCCCAGCTCTCCCAGCTGCCCTCCAACCTGAGCCAGGTGAACCGGACACACATGACCCCCTCAGACCCGCTGCAGACCTCGCTATCGCCCGACCTCGTCTCCACGCCCGTTCCTCCCCCGCCCCCCGGGGAGGAGACCAACCTGGAAGCCTCCTCGTCGGACGAGCAGCCCGCGCCCCTCACCATCGCCCACGTCAAGCCGAGCATCATGAAGAGGAACGGCAGCTTCCCCAAGTACTACGCCTGCCACCTGTGCGGGCGGCGCTTCACGCTGCGGAGCAGCCTGCGGGAGCACCTCCAGATTCACACGGGGGTCCCCTTCACGGCCAGCCAGCCCGGCGAGAGCCGCGTGCCCCTGTCTCTGTGCAGCAACGCAGCGGACCTCGGCAAGGACGCCATGGAAGTGCCGGAGGCGGGCATCATCAGCGACAGCGAGCTCCAGCACATCTCGGACTCGCCCATCATCGACGGGCAGCCGCACTCGGAGACGCCGCCGCCCTCGGACATCGCGGACATTGACAACCTGGAGCAGGCGGACCAGGAGCGGGAGGTCAAGCGGCGCAAGTACGAGTGCACCATCTGCGGCCGCAAGTTCATCCAGAAAAGCCACTGGCGGGAGCACATGTACATCCACACCGGGAAGCCTTTCAAGTGCAGCACGTGCGACAAGAGCTTCTGCAGGGCCAACCAGGCGGCCCGCCACGTGTGCCTCAACCAGAGCATCGACACCTACACCATGGTGGACAAGCAGACTCTGGAGCTCTGCACCTTTGAGGAAGGCAGCCAGATGGACAACATGTTGGTACAGACAAACAAGCCCTACAAATGCAACTTGTGTGACAAAACGTTCTCCACTCCCAATGAGGTGGTTAAACATTCATGCCAAAACCAGAACTCGGACGTCTTCGCCCTGGAGGAGGGGCGGTCCATTCTCCTGGGCAGTGGGGACTCGGAAGTGACGGAACCCGACCACCCGGTGTTAGCTTCCATCAAAAAGGAACAGGAAACAGTGTTGTTAGACTGAATGTTACTTATGTTTTTAAAAACTCATTTTTACAAAGACTCACTTCCTTCCCTTCCCCCAAATTCAGAACTCTTGTTCTCCACGGCATGATGCAGACAGGTCCCGGCCCCACTCCCCCCACCCCTCCTGTCCCGTCCACAGCCCCTCCTCTTAAAGGCTCTGTGCATTATAAACCCAGAACATACTTCTTTAATTCAGGGGATATTGGAAAGATAATGGTCAGTAGTACTTATAAGCTCATAGACTTGGAGAAGTTTTAGATGATTTAAAAACCTACTTGGAACTAATGAAGGGTATATAACATAACAAAACAACTCCAATGCAATTTGGCAAGCTAAAATTATGACTTTCCCTGGGTAGTAAGTCTCCCTTCTCAGAAAGACAATGTCTGAAAAATACAGCATGCTTCTTAGAGATACAGTGGGGCTCTGTAACTATGCAAAATCTAGAGGTGTGGGGAAACTTCAAACCCAAGAAAACATTCTTAGTATTTATCCTCCAGGTGTCTTATTTCAGAATGCATCCTTTGAGATTATGTCCGGTTAGGAAAATCATTAGTTGAGAAATCTACTTGAACAAAACACAAGAGAAAAAGTAATAATGTGATGGCAATCTTAATTTTTGGATAAAACATGACAAGCTGTGGGTCTGTGTGTTTGGAAGAGAAAATGTGTGGATACTTGCTGTAAACAGGTGAATTAATGCACATGCCTTATCTAATTGCTGGCTTTTTTCAGAGCTGAATAACAACAAAATATGTGTTTTAGTTTCCAACAAATTTGTTGGTTGTTTTAAAAATCAGACTTGAAAGTACCATTCTATAGATAGATTGTCTTTCTGAATAGAAAACAATATGCCATTCTAGCAGTTGCCAATGGTAAATTTGTTTTTAGTGCCAGTCAACTGCTTTTAAATCAGTGTTGAGTATGCAGGGGGGTAAAGATACAAGAATATGCATCTTACAGGGAAAGTTGTGGGCACATGTAGGAACTTTAATGACTTTAAATGTTAATGCTGATAGTTTACTGGCAACATTCACTGAAGCATCAAAAATGGCAGAAATCAGGACAAAAAAATTGCTGTTTGGGAAAAAGCTTAATTTTGATGTTTAGTCTCCCATTTTTTGAAAAAAAAAAAAAAAAAAAAAAAAAACCTGCATATAATACTTTCTCAGGAACTGAACTGAAAGAATACATATATTTTTCAAACATTGAGACATGGGTTCAATCTCTGGGTCAGGAAGATTCCCTGGAGAAGGGAGTGGAAACTCACTCCAGTATTCTTGCCTGGGAAACCTCTTGGACAAATGAGCCTGGAAATCTACAATCCATCGGGTCACAANTCCAACTCTGTGTGACCTTATGGACTGCAGCCTGCCAGTCTCCTCTGTCCACGGGATTCTCCAGGCAAGAATACTGGAATGGGTTGCCATGCCCTCTTCCAGGGGATCTTCCCAACTCAAGGAGGGAGCTCACATCTCCTGAGTCTCTTGCATTGGCAGGCAGATTCTTTACCACTAGCGCCACCTGAGAAGCCCCAATAAGTAAAACTCAGAAAGCTTGAGTCACAGCCCATGTGTGTGTTAGTCTCTCAGTCGTGTCCAACTCGTTGCGACCCCATGGACTGTAGCTCACGAGGCTCCTCTGTCCATGGAACTCTCCAGGCAAGAATACTGGAGTGGGTTGCCATTCCCTTCTCCAGGGGATCTTCCTGACCCAGGGATGGAACCTAGGTCTCCTGAACTGGGGGCAGATTTTTTAATGTCTGAGCCGCCAGGGAAACCCTTGGAAAAGGGCTGTGTGTTTACATCTCACAGTTTAAATGGGAGTCTTGTGCCAAGTTAGCTTCAGTGACTATCTGAAAGGGAAACTCAGAGTGTGCCTCCCAGCCCTTCCGGCAGACAAGGGTGTCTTGAAGACCGGGAAGTCGTGGGAATCACCAAGGATCTGATGGGTGAAGAAAGAGGGGTGAATGCCGGCATCGTGATGAAGAGAAAAGGGCAGGCACTCTGTTCCCCTGCTGGAGGGAAGGCGCTCTTAGCAGCTTGCAGCCGCCTCCTCTATGTGGCAGACCTGGACATTGCTGATTCCCTCCCTAAACCAAAAGCCCAGTACAGATAAAGGAGCCAACCCTCCCCTGGGATGCTATGGTCCCATTTAATCCCAAGAGATTATAAACTAACAATTTATTCTGAGTTTGGGGTGGTACCAATTTTTTTTTAATTAAAAAAAAATTTATCTAATTTTTGGCTGTACCGGGTCTTCATTGCTGCCAGCAGGCTTTCTCTACTTCCGGCGAGGGGGGGCTACTCTAGATGCAGTACCCAGGCTTCTCATTGCAGTGGCTTCTCGTTGCAGAGAACAGGCTCTAGGGTGTGCAGGCTCAGTAGTTGCAACACACAGCCTGCGTTGTCCCACAGCTTGTGAAATCCTCCTGGAGCAGGATTTTGCTGCACTGGCAGGCGGATTCGTAACCACCAGACCACCGGGGAAGTCTGATGGTGCCAACTGAAATTAGCTTTGGCCGTATCAGTTGAAGGTATGAGCAATCTGAACACCTAAACTTCAGGATGAATTTTCGTTGCTGTGGTTGCTCAAGACTGTAAAGAATTCATTGGTAGTGCAGGAGCCACAGGAGACATGGGTTTGATCCCTGGGTTGGGAAGATCCCCTGCAGCAAGGAATGGCAATCCACTCCAGTGTTTCTGCCTGGGAAATCCCATGGACAGCCCTGGCAGGCTACTGTCCATGGGGTTGCAAAGAGTCAGACAGGATTGAGTAACTGACACTTCCTCCACACTCTAGCCCTTATTAACACCACTGGGTCTATTATTTTTCCTACTCTTGGAGAAAAATAAATGGTTCATTCAACAGATGTTGCTAAGAAATATATTTGTAGGGACTGTAGGATTTTATTTTACCATAGGAAATATGGCCTTAATGGGAAGAAAGCATTCCATTAAAATGTATTTATCAATTATCCTTCAATTAAGCTGAGAAATAAATTAAAAAGGTAGCTTGGATAATAACAGAAGAATGGAGTCTAGGGTGGACCTCAAGCCTTGTTAAAGTCACAGAACCGGTCACTATTCTTGTTTGTTAAGTTCACCTTGCCAGAAAGGGAAGGGCTGAGACATCCAAAATGAATGCTTCAGTTTCAAAATGTCAGACCTCAGTCACACATTTCAGGGAAAATACCAAATTGCTGTGTTTAAAGAGATAAAAGCACTTAGAAGGATAGTTGCAGAGGATGGTATGTACATGGTACCTCCTGAAATTTGGCTGGGAATTGTGATGGGGGAGGGGAAGCCCTCTCTTACTAATTCACTAGGAATTAATTTTAAGATAAAGTATGAGAACAGGGAGTACAGTTTCTTGTAATGCAATTTAACTTGTTCTTCAGGTTGACTGCATTTTTATGACAATCTTTGCTTTATTCCTCCATTTTGGTCCAGAACCAGTTATAGCTATACATCGCTTGCAGGTAAGGAAGATTTAGGCCTAGAAATCTTTAAGCACATAAAAAACATTATTGAGCTTAAGATACTGATTGATGAAACTTCCTCTTCTAGAACTAGCTCCCAAAACACAATTGGAAGACTATCACTCAACTGCTAACTAAATAAAACTGTTAGCTCTCTAAATAAAATAAAAGTTAAACCGAGAATCTATAGTATCAAAAAACAAAAAAAAAAAATGGACCAGGGTGAAATGATGTTGTGTGGTTTCATTCTGCTCAGACAAATCTAAATGTTTTTAACATAAAAAGTAGCTATGAATTTTTTACTCCAACTTGTGCTAGTCTGGAAAATAGTCAAACCTGCCCTGCCTAAATTCCCTGATTGTTGGGAAGATTGCTCCTCATGGAGAAGGCATCATGTACTGAATGGCTGAGCATGCAGAGGCAAGATCTTGTATTGGTTGTCTGGGCGCTCCAGGTTGAAAGTAACTCCTCCCAGCTGTCAGTTAAAGAAATTGAGGCCCAAAGAAGTTAACCACCTTTTCTGAGGTTGCCCAGTCAGGATTCAAACCCCCCTGTGGCTCAACTCTCACCTTCCCAAATGTGCAAACATTTTCATGGACTAGAATCGACTGGGTGGGGCGGGTGTTGTCAGGAGAGGGGTGGGTATCTGGAAGGGAAAACTTTTTCACCTGTTAACCTATTCATGCGGCTATTGAGGAGGTGAACATAAATCTTATTTATTGCCTTTACCACAGTGGTTCTAAAACTTCAGCACGTCAGAATCTTCTGAAGGGTTTCATAAAACAGACTGTAGAGTATCTGATGTTGAAGCTCCAACACTCTGGCCACCCTATATGAAGAGCCGACTCATGGGAAAAGACTGATGCTGGGAAAGATTGAAGGCAAAAGGAGAAGGGAGCAGAAGAGGATGAGATGATTAGATAGCATCACCTGCTCAGTGGACATGAATTTGAGCAAATGCGGGGAGATAGTGAAGGACAGAGGAGCCTGGCTGCAGTCCACGGGGTTGCAAAGAGTCGGACACGACTTAGCGATTGAAAAACAGCAACAACAAAGAGTGTTTGATTCAGTTGGTTCAGAGTGGGGCCCAAGAATGTGCACGTTGAACAGGTTCCCAAAAGAGGATGATGATGATGACGCTAGTAGCAAAATTTGGAGAACCCCACAGGAGGAGACGGGGATGACCGAGGATGCACTGGATGGGTGGCATTCAGTGGACATGAGTTTGAGCAAACTCCAGAAGATAGGGAAGGACAGGGAAGCCTGGCATGCTGCAGCCCATGGGGTCGCAAAGAGTGGGACACAACTGTGCGCCTAAGCACAGCACAGGATTAATTTAGGCACGCTACAGTCATGGGGTTGCAGAGTCGGACGCAACTTAGTAACTGCACAAGATTTGTTCTAAACCTCCCTGTTCTCGTTCTGAATGCCTCTGTAATCTCTGAGCACAGAAAAGAATGCAGCCAAAGTAATTAAACCCCCTAACTAGTTTTTGAGGAGGCCACCTAGACAATCTTCCTTACTCTAAGAGAAGCAAAGATCTGGATGAGGAAACAAATGGTCGTCATTACAGAGTCCAGGTCTCCCCATCCAGGGCCTTTCTGCTACCGTCTCTCTGCCTAGGAAACCCTTCCTTGCTGTTAGCCATTTAAATTTATTTCTATATTTTTTTTTATTAGCAGAAGACAAAAGAATCCTTTTATCTTTCCATTTAGATGAAGATGCCCGGAAACAGACAAAGGTCCGAAGGTAGCCAGCCAGAAAGAACTGGGCGCCAGGAGGATGCACGGTCTGGGGAGCGCTGGGAGAGACCTTGCTGGCTTGGCCTCCTTCCAGCCAGAGCCCCTCCCCCAAAGTGCATGCCCCCCACACCTCCACCCTAGGGAGAGGTGCTAGCAGACCGCAAAACTGAGAAAGCAAGAGGGAGAGGAGGAAAGATAAGAAATACAGATGATGCACAAAAAGAACATGTCTGAAAAAGATGTTTATGGTATTAATATTTCAGAAACCGCAGTCATTATTCTGAATATCAAAATACAACTGTCATCAGGTTGCTTATGGAGGGCAGTTTTATTAAAACTTCTAATTACTGATGTTAATGTACTATGATGCGTTTTGCTTTCTAGTTTATCAAGCACCTTGCGAAGCACCTAGTCACACATTCGGAAACGAGGAAATTGCTGAGAAAGGGTAAGCCTCATCTTTCTTTGCCACCCAAGTCTGTGCATGAGATTTTCAAGCAATGTCGGAGGTTATTTTCTCCCCTGTTCCTTCCAGGGCATAGAAAGGACAGAAGAGCTGTTTGATGTCTGTCTTTTTCTAAGATCCATATATCCAGCTACTGATCCTGCATTTTCCCTTGGGAAGCTCACAGGACTCTCAAATTGAACGTTTTCCAAATGAATATCATTGCCCACCTCTACCCATGTCGTGTCTGACTCTGAGACCCAATGGACTGTAGCTCACCAGGCTCCTCTGTCCACGGGATCTTACAGGCAAGAATACTGGACTGGGTTGCCATTTCCTTCTCCAGGGAATCTCCCGGACCCAGGGATCAAACCCCCGTCTCCTGTATCGTAGGCAGATTCTTTACCATCTGAGCCACCGGGGAAGCTCACGTACCCATGTCGGTTCCTGACTCCACATCCAGGTTGGCAATGCAGAAACTTCTTTTTTTTCCCAAGGCCTGTCATTTTATTTAGGGAAGGGATTGAAGGGTTTCTGTTTTTGTGTGGTGAAAAACAGCAACAACAAAGAGTGTTTGATTCAGTTGGTTCAGAGTGGGGCCCAAGAATGTGCACGTTGAACAGGTTCCCAAAAGAGGATGATGATGATGACGCTAGTAGCAAAATTTGGAGAACCCCACAGGAGGAGACGGGGATGACCGAGGATGCACTGGATGGGTGGCATTCAGTGGACATGAGTTTGAGCAAACTCCAGAAGATAGGGAAGGACAGGGAAGCCTGGCATGCTGCAGCCCATGGGGTCGCAAAGAGTGGGACACAACTGTGCGCCTAAGCACAGCACAGGATTAATTTAGGCACGCTACAGTCATGGGGTTGCAGAGTCGGACGCAACTTAGTAACTGCACAAGATTTGTTCTAAACCTCCCTGTTCTCGTTCTGAATGCCTCTGTAATCTCTGAGCACAGAAAAGAATGCAGCCAAAGTAATTAAACCCCCTAACTAGTTTTTGAGGAGGCCACCTAGACAATCTTCCTTACTCTAAGAGAAGCAAAGATCTGGATGAGGAAACAAATGGTCGTCATTACAGAGTCCAGGTCTCCCCATCCAGGGCCTTTCTGCTACCGTCTCTCTGCCTAGGAAACCCTTCCTTGCTGTTAGCCATTTAAATTTATTTCTATATTTTTTTTTATTAGCAGAAGACAAAAGAATCCTTTTATCTTTCCATTTAGATGAAGATGCCCGGAAACAGACAAAGGTCCGAAGGTAGCCAGCCAGAAAGAACTGGGCGCCAGGAGGATGCACGGTCTGGGGAGCGCTGGGAGAGACCTTGCTGGCTTGGCCTCCTTCCAGCCAGAGCCCCTCCCCCAAAGTGCATGCCCCCCACACCTCCACCCTAGGGAGAGGTGCTAGCAGACCGCAAAACTGAGAAAGCAAGAGGGAGAGGAGGAAAGATAAGAAATACAGATGATGCACAAAAAGAACATGTCTGAAAAAGATGTTTATGGTATTAATATTTCAGAAACCGCAGTCATTATTCTGAATATCAAAATACAACTGTCATCAGGTTGCTTATGGAGGGCAGTTTTATTAAAACTTCTAATTACTGATGTTAATGTACTATGATGCGTTTTGCTTTCTAGTTTATCAAGCACCTTGCGAAGCACCTAGTCACACATTCGGAAACGAGGAAATTGCTGAGAAAGGGTAAGCCTCATCTTTCTTTGCCACCCAAGTCTGTGCATGAGATTTTCAAGCAATGTCGGAGGTTATTTTCTCCCCTGTTCCTTCCAGGGCATAGAAAGGACAGAAGAGCTGTTTGATGTCTGTCTTTTTCTAAGATCCATATATCCAGCTACTGATCCTGCATTTTCCCTTGGGGAGCTCACAGGACTCTCAAATTGAACGTTTTCCAAATGAATATCATTGCCCACCTCTACCCATGTCGTGTCTGACTCTGAGACCCAATGGACTGTAGCTCACCAGGCTCCTCTGTCCACGGGATCTTACAGGCAAGAATACTGGACTGGGTTGCCATTTCCTTCTCCAGGGAATCTCCCGGACCCAGGGATCAAACCCCCGTCTCCTGTATCGTAGGCAGATTCTTTACCATCTGAGCCACCGGGGAAGCTCACGTACCCATGTCGGTTCCTGACTCCACATCCAGGTTGGCAATGCAGAAACTTCTTTTTTTTTCCCAAGGCCTGTCATTTTATTTAGGGAAGGGATTGAAGGGTTTCTGTTTTTGTGTGGGTTTTTTTTGTTGTTGTTGTTTGGTTTTTGTTTTTAGTCACGCTGCACAACTTGCAGGATCTTAGTTCCCCAATCAGGGACTGAACCTCAGCCACCGCAGTGAAAGCTCGAAGTGCTAACCACTGGACCCCAGGGAATTCCCCAGAAAACTTCATTCTACACGCCATGCTATTCCCACAACAGTTAATCAGGTATCGTGTCCTGTTAAGTCCATCTCCTAACCATCTCTTGATTTACCCCATACCTCTCCAAGCCAAAGTGTCGTTATTTTAATATATGCCCATAATGGCAACCCACTCCAGTACTCTTGCCTGGGAAATCCCACGGACAGAGGAGCCTGATGTGCTGCAGTCCATGGGTTCGTAAAGAGCCGGACACGACTTACTGACTAAACAACAACAATTATCTCTTGCTAGCTGGTGATGATGGTGGTGATGCTAGCTATTACTACAGTAACATGTGAGCTAGTCTCCTCCTAACCTCTGATCTTTAATTCTCCAGTAGCAATTCTTTAAAAGCATTGGTATTTTAGGTGGAAACTTCCTTGTTTAAGAAGGGCTGTCCTGGGCCTTGCAGGATCACAAGTATCTTTGGTTCCAACTCATTAACACCTTAACTCTTAACCACAACCTTAAGACCCTAACCAAAACTCGACAGGGGAGTGGGGCAGAATCCCAACACTGCCTTAGGAATCCTAGGAGAGCATCTCTTCTCTGTTAAACTGGTGACATTTTATTTTAAATCCCACTCTTTAAAATGGTCCACTGGCCAACACGGCTGTACCCTTTCCATAAAGCCTTTACAAAGAACCCTGTATCCAGGCCTAAAGACAACCCCATCTGCTTTTCCCGGAATTAGGAGAGTTTCTGAGGCTAACAAGTGTAATTAGGATCAAACACAACGTGGTTTTTAAGTTAGCCTAATGTCAAGTATTCTCCTTGTGCTTGTTAATTATACCAGGTTATTTGGGAGTTTTGGAACAAAGAAGAAAAAGCAGAGGGGTGAGTTAGTGCTAGGATTTAGCAAACCACATCCCGTTGTTGGAAAATAACATACTGAGTCCTAATTTCGTCACTTAGGAAATATTATTCCAACTCTGGTCTTGAAATATGAATACTATCCATAGGCAAGTTTCTCTTAAGGTTGGATGTAATACTACTCTTGTGTTAAAATTTTTCATATCAACAAGAAATAGGAGAATATGCAAAAAGTCATGAGATTGTTTTGGATACTGTACAGATGGGGGCTTCCCTGGTAGCTCAGCAGGTAAAGAATCCGCCTGCAGTGCGGGAGACCTGGGTTCGATCCCTGGGTGGGGAAGATCCCCTGGAGGAGGGCATGGCAACCCACCCCCGTATTCTTGTCTGGAGAATCCCATGGATAGAGGAGCCTGGCAGGCTATGGTCCATGCAGTTGCAAAGAGTCAAACATGACTGAAACTTGGCATGCGCTGTACAGATGCCTGCAACATTTAAACATCAAAAAGGGCGGGCGGGCGGGCGGGGGAGGGTTGATTTCTAAGCTGTGACAGCAGTTAAAAAAGTCATGATTATATTATTTTCACTACAATGCCATCTCTAAGTCCTGGTCGCCTTAGCTACAATCTGTGTTATCACATAAGGACTGGTGATCTATAGCTCAATTTTCTAATTTATAAAAAGAGAGACAAGTCATTTACCTAATTCCAGTTATATACCATAGGTTGGAGATGGTAAGGAACTTGGTGGTGAGGAGGAACTTGCATTTGTACCAAAATTGTGCCAGGCTGCCCAGCAGATTCGTCTCTAGAATCACATGAGAAGTGCAGTCATGTGACACTGGTCACGTTCAGGTGCCAACCTCTTATTTCCTGAGAATCCTTGCACTGTACCCATTTCCTTTCTTGCTGTTGGATAAGGGTTTTCTTTTCTTTTTTTTTTTTGGATGAGGGTTTTCTAACTCTGGTTCTGATTCCTGTTTGGGATTTCAGAGCAAAAACTGCATAAAACTGTGCTCCTTTGTGGAGTTGGAGGTCAGCCAGAGGCTTAAGGAGAGTCTAATCAAAGTTTTTTGGATGAGGGTTTTCTAACTCTGGTTCTGGTTCCTGTTTGGGATTTCAGAGCAAAAACTGCATAAAACTGTGCTCCTTTGTGGAGTTGGAGGTCAGCCAGAGGCTTAAGGAGAGTCTAATCAAAGGGGTCCCCAACTGGAAAAGCTTAAATAATCACTGAAGAGATTTCTGTGCACTCATACAGTCCCAGGAAGCTTTGTGGACAGTGTCGCAAGGGATGATTAAATATAGTTAAAAGTAGAAGTGAAACGTGTGATGAATCTCATGATGGTAAAGAGCAATCAAAATTGAATTAAGGTGAAATTACAGAAAGAAAATCCATGGTATTTAATTAGGTTGCATTTTATTTAGATAAATGAAAAATCTGCATCCCCGCCCAAACAGAAGTAAGAATCAAATATTGTCTCAGATTAAAGGAAAACTGCTAAGCTTGAAGCTTACACTGAGAGCTAAAATTTCCAGCCCTTCAATATCTCAAAGGAAAATATCGGAACAAAGTTATCTGTGTGGCAGAGAGAGGCAACTTGGGTGTACCATTAGCAAAAGAACCTGAGGGGGAACATTTTATATTCCTCAATTATAAGAAATGGCAAGAGTGTACAAGTCTTGCATTCCTTTCTATTGTACATGGCTCCATAGTAATGCAAAAATTAGCAAAGTTTAGGCACTTGCTCCAACTTCTGCAGTTTGCATTTGATGCTTAACGACCTCACAACAGCAGCTTTAAAATTATAAAATTATAATACAGAATTATATGTCATGCTACTGTTAATGGCATTGCTCCTGTTAATACAACAATGATGCTTAGTGGACACAGGTACAGATCTTGAACGGGAGTAACCCAGGGCACATCAAAAGAGCACAGTCACCAAGCAACTGCCATTGAAAAACCAACTTTGATGGCTAGAGTGACCCGGCCAAGGCCAAACACCAATAGGATGAAGTGGCAGGATGGAATTTCAATCCCCCAAAAATGACTACCATAAACTACACAAATCTTGAATCTGTTCAAAACAGGACAAACCTTCCTGCCATAGAAAGGAAGTCAGTCAATAATTAGAAGTCAAAAGAACTCCTTAAAAACTGCTGTCATCTCCAAATTTCAGTTGATCTTCAGAAATTGACACCAGCGTTTCAGCATGTTTTTTTTTTTAGGTCTCAAGTTGGCAAAAGAAAGATCTTTAGATCAGAGGTTGTTTTTTTAATTTGGAGATTTTAAAGTTTAGTAATTAAGCACAAGTGGCTATTAAATGTGCAAATAACTCCTAAAAGGATATTAAATGTTCTCCAAGTGCAAGGCCATATGCTCTTAGCATGAGGAGTATTTCTAATATGGCCAATTTTTTTTTAATTGTAATCAGATTTGTTGGTTTATGAGAAATTACTTTCCAGTTTTAACAGCCAACTGTCTTTTGGCTAAAAAAAAAAAAAAAAAAGACTATTCTAGTTTTGCTTAAGTGTTATGCTTTAAAATAACTTAATCGACAGTTGAAATTTAAGTTCTCAAACTGGAGTACTGAGTTTAAGTAAAATTTAAGAAGTGTATATACATCAGACCGGTCTCTACCCATGAAAAAGTGGAAACTCTCCAGTAGATAGGGGACGGTTCTGTGTGTGTGGCAATTGTCTGACAGAATCTTTTGTATATTACCATGAAGTGGAAATCATTTTGACACTTTAAGAATTTTTTCCAAGATCACCTGTTAGGCAAGGCATTTGTACTGCTAAGCCTTCTTAAAATGTCTTTCTAGAGGCATCTGTCATTAACACGTATTAACAAAGAGAATTAACTTTTCAGGAAGCACCACCAGATGGTAGCATTGTTTCAGGACCTTCGACCTGAAAAGCTCCCAGTTTATTTCAGTGGAGGCCTCTCTGCCCTTGACTTCCCCTAATCTGAAACTGACGTAAAGCAGTGACCCTGTAGTGACTGCGTTAGAAAGTTCTAGCTTCTCTGCTTTTCGGATGCAATAAACATAGGACCCAGGCTTCCTATGATCTAAGAAATCCAGCAAATCTAAGTGAAGCAAATGTTTTATTGAAATCAGTTGTCAAATCACAATTTATCCAAATGAACATAATGCTACATTGTTCTTAAAAGAGTGGGCACAAATATGGCACAGATTAACAATCCAGCATCTATCAAAATACCATTTGTAAAGAACCTGACTTATTTTGTGCTGTGTGTGAATGGGGGTCCAGCATGTAAGGTCGACTCAAAAGCAGTCAATTCTTTTCTTCATAATGTGAAAACATTTCACTACTTTGCCTCAAAATGAAAGCACACGCATCCGTCCAAACAACCATAACAATCAGGAGAAAAGACTCCAACTTAATCTGCTCCTGAAAAAAACTTCCTTCCAACCTCCACCCGGGGGCTAGGAAGAAAAATTTCCCAGTAACAATGGGACATTCTGTATGTCTCCCCCCTACCCCCGCCCCCCGTACCCGCCTTTTATTTTTAGCATACTATGCATAATAGGAAAGTGACCTATTTCAGAGTGATATTGAACAGGGAATCTAATCCTTAGTGAATTTTAAAAGAGGTGGAGCTTCTGATCAGGAATGTTATTTCTAGAGAGCTGTTTTTCAAAGGCTGTAACTGAGGCAGCAGAAAGCTTCCAGAGACTTGACCGTGGCCGCATGCCCCCTCGTATAATGTGTGATACAAAAGGAATTGCACTATGCTGTACATTTCCTTAGACGTAAAAGGAAAAAAAAATATACAATAGATACAGAAGGAGGATTACTTGAAACATACATATAAATACATAAAGAATGATACTCCAGTTTGAGAAGCAGAACCAAGAATTGCCAACTCCAGTTCTGGGCTAAGAATTGAGGACCTTGAATCAGAAACATTATATGGTACCAAGGGAAAATGTCAGTGTGGTCTTGACAAGAAGAAATGTTATCCGGTATAGCTCCCGATGAAGCCTCAGGATTGTCAGGGGTTCTCGGGAAATGAGAGCAGTTGACATGTCTGTTCTTCGGTTTCCAAAGTTCTGAAAGACTGGTCTCATCAGCAGCATTCAATTTCTTCCCCTACTGGTCTTCACATTCTGGTCTTGCAAGTACAAAAGTGTAACTGTGGAAGGAAGTCAGAATCAAAAGTAAATGAAATCTGCTTTTCCTCTCTCATTTCTGCAGTAGCACTAAGAGTTGTGAGAGGGAGATGCGGCCAGTGGGAACCCTAGTGAAAACCATAGGATGAACCCCGTAAGAAAGAAACATGGTCCATAATACAATGTCCTTTGCTACTGAGTGGGCCAAAAAGTTTGTTCAGATTTTTTCCTAAGATGTTCCAGAAAAACCCAAATGAACTTTCTGGCCAACCCATACCCAAACAGCAGTAGTTAGGCTCTTATATGCAATGGAAATGTTTTTAAAGTGCTTGTCCCTATGCTGGAAGAAATCAATATTTTCCCCAGAGAGCTATAAATTACATTTCAAGCAGCAGCGTATAAACCTACTTTGGACTTCTATAGTTATTCTGTAAAAAATGCAACAAACTAGCTGGTATGGTGCTGAGTGAGCACAACATATTCTGTCCTCAGGCCAAACACATACACAAATGCACACTTGTGTGCACACACAACAGGCCTCTTAATTTTCTTAGAAAGCAGTCATACCAGGGGGTAAAATGAACTCACTACTCTTAGGACACCAGTAAGACTGATGGGTATGTCAATGAGAAAAAGGAAACTAACCTGGGTCTCCTAATCTGACTGATGGTTATTTCCCCAGGTGTAGGTTTGGGGTAAAATCCTAATTATTTGAACTCATAACAAATCAGCCATCTGAAAGTAAAAAGAAGTTACTCACGTGATGTTTTAAGATTCCGTGGGTTCGGGTTTCGTCAGATCTCTCTCTTGGCTCTGCGTCTCCTCCTGTGTTTGTGTTTTCATCTCTTTTTCCAACTCGCTCTGCACTTTTCCCTCCTGGCTGTCTCCCTTCTCTTTCAGTTTGGGTCCATTTGTATCTTGGGACTCTTTGGTCGAGCCTCCCGAGGCCTCAGCATCCTCCGGGGCTGAGGTTTGGTTTCCAGGGTCACCGGCAGCATCACCTTTTTCATCTTCTTGGGATTCAAATGGTGACTTCTTTCTTTCTCCAAACCCGGCACTGCCGTCATCTTGCAGCACAGACTCGGTTTCAGGGATTTCTCTCTTTTTCTGGGATGGGAGAGCTACCTCTTCAAGCTGCTGGTCGTCTACCCTGGGACCTTCTATGCTAATGGCCGCCACCTTCTCTGAAGCTTCATTTGTATCTTTGGAAACGCTGGGATGTGCGTGTTCCCCGGTGCTTAGTGGGGGCTCCTCTTTGGCTTCTACGGCTTGTGTTTCATCCACTGGGCAGGCCGGAGGTTCGCTTTCTTTCTCCGTTTTCTGCTCAGCTTCCTGGCTGTCGGCTTCTGCCAGTTGAGCCTGCGTCTGGACATCAGTGGCCGTTTCTTCAGTACTCCCCAAATGGTCAACGGCTGTCTGAATCACGCTCTGTACAAGTCTGCAGCTCTCCTTCTCAAGTTTCGAAATCTCACTTTCCGCCTTGCCGTCTTCCTCTCCTGTGCTGCTCTCTCTGCCTTCCTGACCAGCAGCCTGCTCACCATCTCCATCCAACTCCCGTTTCTGTGATGTGGTTTCATCTCCTTCCAGGTCAGCGCTGATGTCTTTTCCAGGCGTAATAGATACTATCACTGGTATTGATTCTGCTTGAGACTCAGTGGCTGTGGATGCCACATCTTCTTCCCCAGGCTGGGCAGGAAAATCTTTGTCTTTTTCTGAGGACTCTTCTTCTGGTACTAGACGTGCTTCTGCAGATTTCAAAGCTTCGGCTGTTTCTACAATCTTGATGGCTTCTCCTAAGACCTTCTCCTCCACGGCTGCAGCTATCAGAGCTAACGCTGCCTCAGAGCTTTGAACTGGGATTTCTGTGCCTGCCTCTTCCTCAGAAGCCAGCAGGGGAGAACTTCCTTCAAAACTGATGACTTCCTTTTCCCCGTCGATGATGGTGACATTCACTGTCTGAACCAGTTGCTTACTGAGCTCTTCACAAACGTCCACAGCTGGTTCGTGCTCAAGTTTCTCTTCATTCCCTTCGGTTGCTTCCACTTCCACTGTCTCCCTTTTCCCTTCAACTACCATCTCTCCCTCTGCTGGGGTTGGAAGAGACTTAGCAGGACTGTGGAGTTCTAGATTACCATTCTCTTGAAATTCAACTTTCTTAGTAACGTCCTCCTCAAGGACAACTTCAGTTATTTTTTTCTCAGTTATTTCTGTGTCAGTAGACACAGCAAGTCCTTCCACGGATGGTTCTTCTTTGGCTTCCTCGTCAGAGCACTGGCCAGTCTCTTGAATCACCTCAGTCTTTGAAAGGATGGCTACAGTCTCCACTGTTCCTTCCTCTTCATCCGTGTGTTCTAGACCCTCTGCCATCTTTGAAGACCTTTCGTCCTGCGACTGAAAATCAGAAGATGCTGCAGGCAGCTCTTTCAGTGCAGGAAGTGCCTCGCCTTCGGGGACCTGGGACTGAGTGCCGGCTGGAACCTCACCATCTTCACGGTCATCCATGCTCTTGTCTGGCTGGCTTAGAGTTGAAGCATCAAGATCTGCTACTGGGGTGCTTCCATTGGTCTCACTGTCCGTGAGGGTTTCCGCTGAGTCAGGAGCAACAGCCTGCTCTGGGGCAGTCTCTCCTTCTACTCCAGTTCCGGTTTCAGCCAGACAAGTGCTCACCAACTCCCTGGCCTCTGCACTCTCTGTGCCTGGAGGAACTTCTTCCAAGCTTTCCACGGTGGCCTCGGCAACCACCTTCTCCTGTGTCAAAGTCTCAGTTTCAGTATCTTGGATAAGCCCTTTGGATGCTTCGTCCATCACTTCCTTCAGATCGAGGGCCTGAGAACCCTCCTCAGCCTCTTCCACTTTCTCCAGTATTTTGGTGTGTCCTTTCTGGGTTGTCTGGATGGCATCGTCTGGCAGCTGTGACTTTTCTCTAACTTTTTCTGCAACGGCCTGCAGCACCTCCTGGGTCCTCCTCGCCTGGTCCTCCGCGTCAGGCATGCCGCCCTCCACCTCTTGCACTGGTGTCGCCTCCTCGGTGGTGTCTGGAGAGTCGGTTAACTGAGAGACAGCCGAAACCATGTCTGCGGTCTCTTCCGCACCAGAGGCCTCTGTGGTTTCGGCAGCTGTCACGGCCTCCGAGGTTAATTCCACCTCGCTGGCCATCGTGTCATCACCAGCCTCCTGGCCCTCTGGCAGCACTTTGGTAACGATGGGGGTTTCCTCCACGACGACTTCTCTTTCAAGCACCTCCTCGCTTGGTGGTGTGGCTTCGTCTTCGGCTTGTTCCAGAGGTTCCGTCACCGACGCTGAGATCCAGGAGGGCGCCCTTTCTTTGATATTGCTAATGGCCCTTGTCCCGTCCACGACAGCTACCGACACGGTGTGAACCAGACTCTTGCTGAGCTCCTCATCGACATCCACCTGCTTCTGCTCGGGCCCCTCCTGGCTCTTGGGGGCTTGCTGGGCTTCGGTTTTCTCTCTTTCCACCGCATCATATTCAGACAGAGGGACTACGGCTGGGATGTCCGCATCGTCCTCGTTGGCCTCCGCTGGCCCCGCCTCTTCGACGGCGGCTGGTTCCTGCTTCCCATCTGGCCGTTTCTTCCTTCGCCCGGGAATAAACTTCCGGATGGAAACCCAAGACTCTTCTTTCCCCGGCTCCGCCTCTGAGGCTGCATGTTCTGCGCCAGGCCCAGCTACAGAGTCTTCGCTTCTCTCTTCCAGTTTTGACTTCGATTTTTTTCTCGAGGTGACCAGTCTTTTAAAGGTTTCCCAAGTGGAGACGCCCTCACCTTCGGAAGGGCTGCCGGCCGGCTCGGGTGAGGAGCTTCCCGGTGGTTGCTCGTGGTCCTGGGAACCGGCAGCGGCCGCCTCTGGGCCCGGCTCTTTGTCCCTCCCAGCTTCCTCTGCTCTCTGGCTTTCCCCTCCGAGGGGTCTTGGTTCCCCTTCGTCGTCGGAAGAGGATGCTTTCCTGGCTCTCTTCTTGGATGACCCCACGCAAATCAGGGCTTCCCAGGACACGGAGGTGTCGACCTTGCGCTTGGGCTCCTCGGGCTTCGGCTCCTCTCCATTCCCTTTGGCCTCTTCCTGCACTTCGGAGGCCGCGCTCTCCGTGGAGGACAGGGTGGCGCTTTTGACTTTGTCCGCCTCGTCCTCCTTATCGCTTTCAGAGAGCCTTCGCACGCGTTTCTTGGGCGTCACCATCTTTTTGAAAGATGCCCAGGGGGTAACACCACCTTCCCTCTTCTTCTCCCCATCGGAAGTGGTCCCTTCCTCCGCCTCCCCATCCTGGCCAGGGGCCTCAGCCACCCCTTTCTCCAGACAGGTGATCTCCTCGGGCTCTTCTGGAGACGAAGCTGAGCTCTCACCGCCCTTCGGTTCGTCTGGACTGTCGGGAGAATCCACGGAGGCTGGGGGCTGCTCCCCGGATTCCTCGTCGCCGCCTCGTTTCCCTTTCTGTTTCTTTCCAGACAGCTTTTTCAAGCCGGAGCTCGTGAACAGTTTCTTTAAAGGGCTCCCCTGCACTTTAATTCTCTCCTGCGAGGACAGCATTTCGGCCTCCCTCACGGTGCCCTCGGGGGGCGTGGACGGCGATTTTGCTTCCCCGCTAAGCTCAGTTGCCTGGGAGTGGTCCCCGCTCAGGGCGCCCGTGTCTTCCTCCGTCTTCAGCATCTCTGCCGACTCGGCTTCCGGAAGGTCGGCGCTCGTCTCGGTCGACTTTTCCGGTGGCGAGAGCGCCCCTGTTTCTTCCGCTTCGGCTTCCGGTTCTTCCTGGTCCTTCTCCACAGTGCTAACGTGGACTTCGGCGACAATCTCTACCTTTTCGTCAAACACCTCGGTTGCTAACGGAGCTGGTCTCTCTTCGGGAGGTGCCTGCGCTTGGTCTTCAGGGGGCAGCTCCACTTTTTCATACTCGGCCGACAGCCTGGCCTCCTGGGTGCTCTCGGGGGCCTCCTGGGCGGGCGGCTGCTCGCCGGGCTCTTCGGTCTTTTCGATTTCTTCGGCTTTTTCGGGCTCCTGTTCTTTCTTCTTCTCGGAAGCCTCCAGCTCCTCCTCCCGGGGCTTCCTGAAGCTGGTCTTTTTGCGCCAGCCGGCCCAGCCTTGAGTGAAGAATTTTCTGAAGGGCGAGGCGGTTTCGCTGGCCACGGGACTAGTCGGGGAATCTGCAGGTCTGGCGGGTTCTTTCTCTTGTTTCTCTTCTCCTTCATCTTTGCCTTCCTCAGCTGCTTGACCAGACTCGGCCTGAAGGGAGATTTCCGTGCAGCTCTGCTCGCGTTCGGGGGCCTCCTCGGGTTTCTCGGTGGACTGTTTCAGTTCACCGTCTTTGGGTGTTGCGCCCCCGGTCTCGCGGCTGGGCTCCGGGTGGTCACCAGCCCCGTCGGACTCTCCTGCCCCTTCACTTTCATCCTTCTTGACGGTGAGGAGCTGCACGCTGTCAGACTTCTCGGTCTTATCCTTTTTCACGGTGAATTTGAAGCCGACAAACTTGAATACCTTCTTAAATCCCACGTCGTTAGCCTGGGGCTCAGGGGGTTGCACCAGCTCATCCACGCTGCTTTCTGAGGCAGGGATGGGTTCCATCATCTCAGACATTTCCTCCTTCCCCTCCGTCGTGATGTCTTGAACCACCGCTGAGTTAGCAGCCATCTCTTTGTCTGAGTCCCTTTCACTCACATCTTCAGATTCTCTTTGTCCAACTATTAACAGAAAGAGGGGGTGGTGGGGAAGAAAAAGACAGACATGATTATAATTCAAAAAAATTAAATATTTAAAAACCATGACCAGTGAATACTTTAACAGTCGAGCAATTCCAAGATCAAGATCCGGTAATGGTCTTACCAGCATCTGTAAATTTCAACAGATTACGCAGCTTTCAAACTATCTGTAAAAATTCAGGTTCAAAGGTACTACTCTGCTCTTTCTGTTCCTTTTAGAGGGAAAGTTAACAAATTCAACTAGCAAAAAAAAAAATTAGTTAGAGGTAGGTGGCCACAGCATCACTGAGGGTCCTGAGCTGCAACAAAAGATCGTGCATGACCCAAAGAAGACCTTGCATGCTGCAACTAAGACCCAGCACAGCCAAATAAATAATGTTTTTTTAAAAAGACAAGAGTTGGGAGGAACATTTTTACAGACGAAGTTTGAAACCAAAAGCAAGGACATTATTTGATTGACTGTAGCTTAAGCGGTTGCCTTATTTGGGAATGCCCAGTTGGCTGTTTGTCAACAGACTTAGGAAAAAAAATCACATATACTAACACTATTCTAATAACTCATCAGTCAAGGATCAAAAGATGCTAAAATTTTGGGGTGAAAGATTGTCAGCACACCTACAGTTTTAGAGTATCAACACACAGGTGACTTCATTTCAAAAGGAACAAGTTCCTTTACAATGGAGAAATCTTCCAGCCACTGCCGTAACCACGCCATCAGAATTAACATCCCCAGTAACAGGACAAAACTGTCATCATGCTTCCCAATGTGAGGCACTGAGAAGGCCAGTAAATCACCCACATAATACTCCTGACAGAAATGTTTAACAGGACTGAATCATGTGGAAGCAGTCGCCCACGATGAAGAACATCCTATAAAATAGCCTGGACTGAAACATCAATGTCGCAAAAGATAAAAATCAAACATAAATACAAATGGATTGCCTACAAATCACTTTTAAATAGTTTAAGGAGAGAGAATGAGGGGGTATGGAGAAGAGAAGAGAGAGAAGGAAAGAGCATGAGATAAAACATCAGTGAATGGTGAATTAGATCACGTGTACAGAGGTGCTTATTCTATTTTTTCTGTAGGTTTATATTTTAAAACTTGTGGGTTAAAGAAGCTAGTCCAGTGCGGTTCAATAAAGGGTGGGATGTGCTAAATTTAAAAAATTAAGAAACCTAACAACCAGAGATGCCAGGCGTGGACCTCAGTTGGATATTTGTTAGAGCAAGTCAGCTCAGTGACACTTTTGGATCTTCTTGGGAGAATGATTTGAGATTAGAGGTGACCCATTTTTACCAAAATGAAAGGGTAGAAATTTTGACTGAAAAGAAAAACAGGCTACCATACGTCTATATACCACGACCTCATTTTGGGTTAAAAACTCTGTCCGTCTCTTTCTCACACACACACACACCATCCACATATGACTTCTGGATGATGAGAATGTAACATACTTTAGCTTTACTTGTCCGAATTTTTAAAATTTTCTATTTAGTATTGCTTTCTGTTTGCTTTTCTACTTAGTATTACTTTATTTGGGAGGTGGGGTGGAGCTCTAAAACCACTGCAGATGGTGACTGCAGCCATGAAATTAAAAGACGCTTACTCCTTGGAAGAAAAGCTATGACCAACCTAAACAGCATATTAAAAAGCAGAGACATTACTTTGGCAACAAAAGTCTGTCTAATCAAAGCTATGGTTTTTCCAGTAGTCATGTATGGATGTGAGAATTGGACTATAAAAAAAGCCAAGCGCCGAAGAATTGATGCTTTTGAACTGTGGTGTTGGAGAAGACTCTTGAGAGGCCTTTGGACTGCAAGGAGATCCAACCAGTGCATCCTAAAGGAAATCAGTCCTGAATATTCATTGGAAGGACTGATGCTGAAGCTGCAGCTCCAATACTTTAGCCACCTGATGCAAATTTTTCCAATGAGTCAGTTAAATCATTGGAAAAGACCCTGATACTGGGAAAGATTGAAGGCAGGAGGAGATGGTTGGGTGGCATCACCAACTGGATGGACATCAGTTTGAGCAAGCACCAGGAGTTGGTGATGGATGGGGACACCTGGAGTGCTGCAGTCCGTGGGGTTGCAGAGTGAGACACGACTGAGCGACTGAACTGGACTGAACTGATTGCTTGATGTAGTAAATAAAAAGGTCAGTTAAAACTGACACACAAAAAGGTCCCAATAATGTTGTAACAAAATACATAGCCAGTTTAGATACTAGTGTTTAGAACATAGCAGTAAGTATTTGAAATATAGAAATTCTTTGGAAATACAGAAACTATCTGCATCTCCAAATTCCTCATCAAATTTACATCATCTTATTTCTCCAGGAAAATTTTATTCTTTGTGTGAAATATTACAAGCCTGTGTCTACAAATTTCCATCGGACTATTACTGGGTTTGATTTTGAAAGTGAAGCCAAGAAAGTTCAGTGAAAAACTGTCCAAAGAACCACCCAAGTAAAGACCAGAGTCCTGTTTGAACACACTTTATACTATGCTATGCGAGCTATATACACCCTAGCAGCTTCCTGAGTAGCTGAGCTGGTAAAGAATCTGCCTGCGGTGCAGGAGACCTGGGTTCGATCCCTGGGTTGGGAAGATCCCCTGGGAAGAAAGTGCCAACCCACTCCAGTATCCTTGCCTGGAAAATTCCATAGACAGAGGAGCCTGGTGGGCTACAGTCCATGGGGTTGCAAAGAATGGGACACGACTTTGTGACTAAGCACACACACCCACACACACCTCACCCTAAAGTTCTTTTCCCCTTGCTTTTTCTTTCCTAACATGACCAGGTTTTTTGGATAGTCGCAGATAAAACCCGTGATCATCTGGGCTGCTGCTGCTTCTGAGAGGAAGGAGAGATACCAAGGAGGTGCCCTAGCCCTAACCACACACCACAGGGGTGGGTGGGGCCTTGTGACAGTCCCACAGTTGTCTGTAAGAGTTTTGAGAATCAGGCAATTCTCATTTTTTCTAATTGATATCAGTCAGCATCTAAAGTAGCATTAAAAAAAATAAAAATAAAACCAAACTGAACATCTTATCAATTAAAATAATTTTTTTTCTTTTTTTGCTGCACCACACAGGCAGGATCTCAGTTCCCCAACCAGGTACTGAACCTAGGACAAGGCAATGAAAGCTTGGATCCCAACCTCTAGGCCACCAGGGAACTCCCCAAACTGAACATTTTAGATAGACATTTTAGGAAGACAAAGGAATTTGATTAATTTCAAGTGTTCTTCTTAAAGGGCACTTTTTCCTTTTAAGAAACAAATCCTAAAAAAAAAAAAAAAGAAAGAAATCCTAAACTCTAGTTAATGACATGCATGCTTGAAGTGTTTAGGAGTGAAGCATACAGGTGCCTGCAACTTACTTTGAAATGCATAAAAAAGAAGTTAAGATGCGGGTTTCCCTGGGGCTCAGGGGTAAAGAATCTGCCAGCCAGTGCAGGAGACACAGGTTTGATCCTTGGTTTGGGAACAGCCCACAGGCCACGGAGCAACCAAGCCGGTGTGCCTAAACTATTGAGTCTGTGCTCTAGAGCCTGGGAACTGCAACTGCGGAGCCCTGGAACCTCAACAACTGAAGCTGGTGCCCTGGAGCCCATGCTCCATAAAAAGAAGCCACCACAACAAGATGCCCATGCACTGCAAGTAGAGAATAGCCCCACTTGCTGCAACTAAAGAAAAGCCCATGCATCAAAGACCCAAAAAATAAAATTATTAAAAACAAAAAGTAGGATGGATTCATGAATGGATGGAGGGATGGATAGTTGGAGAACTGTGTCATTAGGCAAGAAGGGAAATGT